TTGTCTCTCTATAGATTTTATGTCTATTTTTTTTTTTTTTTTTTTTAAGGGGGAGAGGTAGGGAAGGAATTCTAGGACAAAGCCATTCTTTCAACAACAAATATTTATTGAGCACCTACTACATGCTGGTCACTGTACTAAGTAGCACCCGGACCTCAGTTTTCAATCCAAAAGGGCTGGAATTCTTTCTTAACACAAAGCATCTTAGGTGAGACAATTCTTTGTGTGGGTCTATTCCCTGCATTGCGGAGCACTTAATCCTCTAAAGGACGGGACTCTATGGTCATTGGAACAACTCCAAAATGCTCTCGCACGCTTCGAAATGGCCCCCTAGGGGGCAGTATCGCCCTGGATTTAGAAACCCCGGCCCGCTTCCTCCAGGAGACTGGGAAAGGCCCCTTCTCTACTGTCACCGGCAAATTCAGGATGAGGTCGAGGCCCAAGGTGAGCAGGATGTGGCCCCTGTATCCGGGGAACTGGGCAACCCACTACTTCCCGGATGAGCTCGTCATCAGCCTTCGGGTACTTGGCTCAGGACCTCTTCGCAAGTACTCCCCACCGTACCAAGATACAACTCCATAACTTCAGCTTCCCGTTCCCGGCCGAGTCCTGGGATCTTGGGGAGAAAGGAATGGGGGTTTTGCCTTGGTCCTCAAGAATCAGTCTTCGGGAGGCGCAGGGTTAATGCAGGGAGGCGCGTAGACGCCTGAGCGCCACTAGAGGGACCACTGACACAGCTCAGCCGGGCAACTTTACGGTCACGTGGTGGTGAGGGCGGGTCCAAACAAGGGGCCAGGCCAATAGGCTGTGCTGTCGGTGGGTGTGATGGCCAATAGGAACAGGGAGCGGGGTCCCGGACTGTAAGAAACGACGACTGGGAGGGGGCTACGGGACCATGGGGCTTCTGACCATACTGAAGAAGATGAAGCAGAAAGAGCGGGAGCTGCGACTGCTTATGCTGTATCCTCCCGGACGCCGGAGCGCCGAGGGTAGTAGGGGCCCCCGCCGCGTGGGCGGTGCCAGGCGCCCCCTGCCGGGCGCGGGTGAGCGGCCGGCCGGCGCGAACAACTGCCCATTGTGCGTCACGCACGTGGGCCCTACCAATCGCTGGCGGCGGGGGCCGGGAGAAGGCCGTACCACCGGCTCGGGCCGGGCAGGGGGGACTCCGTTCCAAACGCCGAAGGTGTGGGCCTAACGGCGCAGCGCGCGACCGTGTGTCCCTATTGCAAGGAGGAGGTGGGGCTCGGAGGTGACTCGAACGTCACCGTCCGTCTCCGTCTGGCCTGAGCGTGGGCCCCTGTCCTCTCTGAGGCCCTGACCTCCTCCCCGATGTCCAAGGGTGCCGGGTCCTGGCCCCGCCCCCGAGGTCGGAATCCCGGGGGCGTGTGGGGCCAGCTCTGGGCTCTGCGCCCCGCGGGTGTGGACTCGGTCCACCGTGACTCTAACCGTCACCTCTGCTGCCCCGCCGCGCGTCGGTGTCCCCGCGGCCTGCGGCTTGTAGATCCGAGGGCCCAGCCGGCCTCCCGAGCCCGGTTAGCAGGCGCCTGCACTCCTGGCCCTGCCCTGTACGGCCGTGGGGAACCGGCCATCGCAGAGCTAGGCCGGCCTCACCCCCGGCCCGGAGAGAACATTGACGTGCGCACGTAACTTAATAAGATCCGCATCGCATTTCATTTAAAGAGCTCTGAGAAGGGCGCGGAGAAGTCACGCATTCAATAAATATTTATTGAGCGCCTACTACGTGCTAGGCACTGGCCTAGGGGCTGGGGTGAAACAACAAATCCTGTCCTATGAAAATTCTGTAACGGGGGAAGAGAAAGAGGAGATCGCAAAGAAGTGAAATATGTAGTATGAATGGAGAAGAAAGTAGTTTAGGGAGGCCAAAGAAGGCCACCGTCTGGCCTGAGCGTACCTGACCTCCTGACCCAGTGACCGCTGGATAAAGACATGAAGGAGATGAGGAATATGGGGGCAGGGGGAGCCGTTTAAAGCAGAGGAAAGGCCAGTGGAAAGCCCTGAAGGAGGCACAATTGGTGTGTTCGGCGGATGCCAGGGAGGGTAGTGTGGCTGGGGAGGGTGAGGACAGGGAGCATCGCTAGGATGTTCTTAGCTCTTGCTTTAAGTGAGTACCAGATGCCAGGCCATGAACCGAGCCCAGTTAGGCAGCTGTACTCATGCAGTTGATATAGAATGGTGGCTTGGACTAGGATGGAAGTAGTGAGGTCACGGAAATAGGGGGACGCCGTGATAGCAGGGCCAGCGGGAATTGCTGCTAGGTGGGACGTGAGAGAGGAAGTGAAGTGAAGCCTGCCGCCTGGGTTTCTGGACTGAGCCATGAGAAGACAAGAGCCACTTACCGAAATGGGGAGGAGCAGGTTCCCCGGGAAGTGATAGCTCTGAGCTCTGTGGGCCACATGTGTCTCTGGGATGCCTTGGAGTACCAGGTAGGCTGCAGGATACAGGGCTTACTAGAGGGGCGTGGGTGGGTGGCATCAGCACAGGGATGGTGTTTGAAGCTATGATCCTGGAGGGACTCACCTAGGGAGCACCGTGTGCACAGAGAAGTGAGTTGTGGAAATACAGATAAGTCAGGCAGGGCGCAGAGGAAGGAGGGTGAGCCACTGTTGTCAGGTGCTGCAGGTGAGGGCCACCGTCCACTCGGGAGCAGTGGGGAGATCTGGCGGACCCACTTGGCAAGAACAGGTGTGGGAAGCAGTGGGAGCCACAGCCTGCTGGGCCATGTGTTTAACAAAGAGCAGGGAAACAGAGGCTCTGGTGAGTGTGAACAACTGGCGAGGAGGTGTGCTGTGAAAGGGAAGGTAGGAGTCCCTGGGGCAGAGGACGGAGAGGGTTTTGTTTGCAGCATCTGAGGGCGAGAAACAATAGCATATTTGCCAGCTGCCAGGGATGATGTGGGGGAGAAGGAAAGATGGAGGACAGCATTAGGGAGATGGGGAGAATCTGGAGCCAGTTTTCAGGGGCTAAGGTCTCCGCGAGGTACTCTCCTCGCCTCCATTTTACAGGTTGAAGTCGCTGGTCCCAGGTCCAGTGAGCAGCAAGAGGCACTAAGCCCAGGACCTCCCCCAGCCCCATCCCGGCTGCATGTGCCTTAAGTGTTGGAAGGAGAGCAAGGTGTCTGTCCCACTGGTGAGCTTATCCATTCTTCTGCTTTCTGCACCAGAGGTTGTGGAACATTCCAGAAACAGAGATGGAGGTTTCTGCCTCTGTGTATTTGCTCTTCCTTCAGCCCTTCAAAAAAACTAACTCCCTGTATTTCAGGCCTCCGTTCAATGTGCCTCTGGGAGCCTTCCCTGCACGGAGCTGAAAGCCCTCCCTACAGGGGCCCCTCCAGGTGTCTCCCTGGGGCTTGCCACACTCACCAGGATCTTATTTTCTCAGTTGCACTTTATCACAGTCTCCTCACTAAGAATGCAAGCTTCATAAGGGCAGGGACTTTGTCCCTCAGCACCTAGAGAGGGCCTGGCACATAGTAGGTGTTCAATCAATATTTTTTATATGAATTAAAGAGCTTTTGATTAGCAGAGATGATACAATTATATCTTTTTGTTGTTGGTGGTGGTACTGAGAAATGAACCCAGGGTGCTTAACCACCGAGCCACATCCCCAGACCTTTAATTTTTTTATTTTAAGACGGCCTCACTAAGTTGCCTAGGGCCTTGCTAAGTTGTAGGGGCTGACCGTGAAACTGTGATCCTCCAGCCTGGGCCTTTGGAGTCACTATATCTTGATAGTCCCATGCTTTCTCCAGGCCAGTTATGGGCCAGCACGGGCTCAATTCTCTTTGACATGATGGGAAATTGTCAGTCCCTAAGAATGACATCACCACTGGCATAGCACAGGGACTTCTCCTTAACCTGTGTGCCCCAGCGGCCTGGACAATGCCGGCAAGACAACTATCCTCAAGAAGTTCAATGGGGAAGATGTGGACACCATCTCCCCGACTCTGGGCTTCAACATCAAGACACTGGAGCACCGGGGGTGAGTGGGGCCTGGGGCCTGCCCCGAGGGGGGTGCGGGTGGGGAGGACCAGCTGACCACCAGCCGCTCTCTGCCCAGATTCAAGCTGAACGTCTGGGATGTCGGTGGCCAGAAGTCCCTACGCTCCTACTGGCGCAACTACTTTGAGAGCACTGACGGCCTCATCTGGGTGGTGGACAGCGCGGACCGCCAGCGCATGCAGGACTGTCAGCGCGAGCTCCAGAGCCTGCTGGTGGAGGAGGTGGGCCAGGCGGGGCGGGGGCAGCATGATCCCTGGGGGACACCTGGGGACCCGTAGTGCCAAGGGCAGAAAAAGCATGCTGTGGACAGAGACCTGGGTTTACATGAATTTGGTTTTACTGTGTCACCACCCTGAGCCTCAGGTTCCGTACTTGAAATGGGAAGGACAACACTCACACCAGAGGGCTTTAGGGAGCATCCTCAAGGTCAGCGTGCGAAGCTCTGGGAGGCAAGGAACCCTGGCTCAGGAGTCTGCCACTGCGTGTGACCTCAGGAAAACTCAACCTCTCTGAGCTTCCACTTCCACATTCCTAAAATGGGGATCACAGTTAGGCTGATCTCATAATTTATTGTGTGGCCCCAACACTTTTTTTTAAGTAAGATTTTAGATTTACAGAAGAGTTGCAAAGATAGTACAAAGATACTCCCCCCTCCCTCACCCCACTTCCCTAATGTCAGCATCTCAGAGAACCCTGGTATACCTCTTAAACCAGGAAGCTAGTATTGGTGAGTTACTGTTATCTAACTACAGGTCTTATTTGGAATTCACTATCTGTGTGTGTGTGTGTGTGTGTGTGTGTTTGTTTCACTGTTGTTTCCACTCATGGGCTTTGTCTGTTCTGGGGTTTGATGCAGGTCACCTTGCTGCATTTAGTAGAAACCAGGCCTCTTGAGAGCGGTAGTGAAGTTGTGAATAACTCCAGGAACCACAGTGACATGTGGTCCCCTCCTGGGGGTGTCAGCAGATCCAATGAAGTCCTGGCTGTCAAATGCTGAGCCCAGGCCTGGCAGGTTGAGGCCAAGCAGGTCATGTCCACCCGCCCACATGGAAGGACTCCCAGTTGTAAATGCATAGAAATGACAGAATCAGAGGCAGACAGCGAAGCCTTTTGGGAATGGAACAATCAAAAAGGCTACAGCCAGGTGCAGTGGTGCACGCCTGTAATCCCAGAGTCTCTGGAGGCTGAGGCAGGAGGATCACGAGTTCAAAGCCAGCATCAGCAATGGCGAGGGGCTGAGCAGCTCAGTGAGAACCTGTCTCTGAATAAAATAAAAAATAGGGCTGGGGGTGTGGCTCAGTAGTCGAGTGCCCCTGAGTTCAGTCCCTGGTACCAAAAAAACGGGGCTATGAACACTTGGAAGAGGGAAGGTGGCCACTCGCAGCAGCAGACCCCCAGGAGGCTGGCATGCCCATGTGGCGTGGGCTCTCCAGGCCACAGTCCTGAGCGGCAGGACTACAAGGGCTCAGGAGTCATCTTGAGTATGCCCTCCCTGCTTATAAAAGAGGAAGCTGAGGCATAAAGGAGAGGCGCCCACTGGGGGTGGTTGGCTGGAACCAGGACCCAGGCGCAGCCCTGGGCTCTGCTCCACGTGGCTGCAGCCTCAGTGGCCCTGCCACTCTGCCCCCCTCACCTGGGCCTCTCCCGGAACCCACAGGCCTTGTCTAATCTTCAGGGTTGGTCTCTGACCCCAGTACCCTCCTCCTCCCCGCAGCGCCTGGCCGGAGCGACCCTTCTCATCTTTGCCAACAAGCAGGACCTGCCTGGAGCGCTGTCCTCGAACGCCATTCGCGAGGTGAGTCCAGTCCCTGGGGCAGCCTCCTGAAGAAAAGGGGCATGTTTCTATATTAATTTGTTTAAAAAGCACTTTTGACCCCTGCTGTGTGGCGGGACATCTGTGGGCACCAGAGTCTCGGTGTCAGCAGGTTCGATGGCACAGTAGCCAGCGCACTGCAAGTGTGCCCCTTGTGATGCTCTTTGCGTGGATTCACTAGGTAGGAACTACTGTCGCCATTTTAAAGGATGGTTAAGCAGACTTAGAGAGGTTAGATAATTTACCCAATGACACACAGCTAGAAAGTGGACAAGCCAGGATTTAAAAGCAGGCCTATCTAACCCTGGTAACTAAATCTTAACCATTAAACTAGTGCTCAAGCACCATAATGAGAAAGAGCTAGGTTAGAATGTTGGTTCTGCCATTTACTAGCTGTGTGACCTTAGGCAGGTTCCATAACCTCTCTGAGCTTTGGTTTCCTCCTTGGTAAAATAACCAACATAATCCCAGACTCATGAGGCCTTGGGAGGAGCAGGTGAGATGTCATATGTAGGGTTCCTGACACAGGACCTGGTCCTAGAAGATGCACAGGGGCCCATGTTGCTCTTTTCACCATTGAGTGTCAGCGGTGTGGCCCTACAGAAAGCCTAGGTGCCCAAGGGGGTGGCAAACCCTCGTAGGAGGCTGCACAGACGGGGTGACCCCTGGACAAGGCCTTGAGGGAGACGCAGAGTTCCCTCGGGGCCAGGAGAGGGCAGGCCGGGGACCGGGGACTGGCCCCCGCCCACCAGCAGCTCCTGCCCGCAGGCCCTGGAGCTGGACGCCATCCGCAGCCACCACTGGTCCATCCAGGGCTGCAGCGCCGTCACCGGGGAGAACCTGCTGCCCGGCATCGACTGGCTCCTGGATGACATCTCCAGTCGCATCTTCACAGCCGACTGAACCACCTGGATGTCCCCACTCGCGGTCCAGGCCCCAGCCCCCCCAGCTGCCACCGTGCGGAGCGGAGTCAGCCCGCCTAACACGCCGCCCTCCCGGAACCTGCTGCTGCTACTGCCCGCTGCTGCTCTCCCACGGCAGGAGGCTGCACCCTCCAGGCACCCTGGCTCCCCACCCAGCCTCCAGCTGCCACACCAAGAAGAGGGGCCTGGGCCGGCAGGGGCAGCCTCTGCTGCTCTGGAGGCCCTGGGCCTCATCTTGGGCTCAGCTGTGAGAATAAAGCACTCCTGTCCAGCTGCTGGCTGAGCCCCTGTGATTCACCCGCCTTGAAGACCACCTGGGGTCCTAGGGTCCGGCAGGGCGCATACAGGAGCAGAGGGTCATCTGTGCCAGAGGGACGCACAGAGTTGCCAAAGCTCAGGTCGGGGCTGCACCTGATGCCATCTGGAAGAGTCCAGGCACGCTTCTCAGAGGAGGCAGCCTTAGAGTTGGGAATGGAGGAGGAGGAAGGGTCTGGGTAGAGAATGGGTGGCAGTTTACCAGGGCAACTGCACCGCTCCTAGGTGGGAATCAGAAAAAGGCGCAGCTGCAGGCCTGGGCTCATGGCGCACAGGTTGTTGAATGGAACATGGGCTAAAAATGGCCTCCCTACTTGCTGTTGTGACCAGAACCCCTTGTGCAGTGCACACCCTGCACAGCTGTACATGGCAGTGCTGCTCAGGCAGAATCGCAAAGCAGAGGCAGGAAAGAGCAAGGGCTCTTGAGAATTGGGAGGGCATGGACTTGGGCACAAGTAGGCACACAGGGAGAAAGAGGGAGGGGTCTGCATCGGGCAGGGATGGTTAAGGCCTTCCCTGAGGCATGTGAAGCCAGGCCCTCTGGACCTCAATCCAGGGAGCAAGGCCGACAGGTGTCTTCATGGCTGCTGTTCTAAGCACTACTCAGGGATCAAGGCAGCTAAAGACAGGCCTAGGGCATAGACCATCAGTGTCCCCTGACACTGGAAGCTGAGCCCCCAGGAGATTAATTAGTGGCCACCTCAAGCCCCCCCCCCAGCAAGTGGCACACTGACCCTGCACCCTGGCCACCATGCCCTGCTGCCTACTGCACAGCGTGGGCCTAACCATCTTCAGCTTCTCTTTTCTCAAAATTCAAATGCCAAGGGCGGTAACTGAGCTCTTGCTCATCTCTTAATGAGGACCTGCTGCCCACCAAGCCCACGGGACTGTGTCCAAGGGAGGAAGGACATCTTTATGATAGTTGGATGCTATTCGTAAAGGTGAGGAAGAGACCCTGGGATTTCCATCTGAACTAGCACTAGGGTCCCTTCCCCGAGGGGTAGAGGTTCCTTTAGGGTGGGCAGAGGGAAGCAGATGTTGGGTGGCCAATCTTACGACATGCTCAAAATTAGGAACCCCTGCCCTGTCCTCCTTGAGGGACAGATGCTGAGGTCAGCAGCCTCCAAACCCCATGGCCAGCAAACACTTGAGTCCCCGCAGCCAAACCCCAGCCCTGCCATGTGCTTGTTGAGGCTGAGCAAGTTGCTTAACATCTGTGCCTCAGTTTCCCCATTTGGGGAAATACAATGGCACCTACCTCCCAGGGTTGGGATGAGGACTGAACTGGTTGGCGCCTTGTATGTCATAAGCACCAAGTGTCAGCTACCATTAGAATGAACAGTGTGGTCCAAGCAGTGTGCACTGTTACCCCATGCTTGTGGACATGCTGGTGGTCCCCTTAGCAAGCCACACCCCGATGGAGAAGGTGAATTACGCACAGCTGGGGGCCAGCAAGAGCGCAGCACGGTTGCTCATCACAGAGGTCTGGGTGGAGAGCCCAGAGTGCAATTCTATTGTCTATTTCCGCCTGGAGCCTGCAGTACAAGGTTGGTACCTCCAAGTTCCAGGAAGAAAAGTCCCTGTCCTGCCAGTGCTTCACCACACTGTGGACTCAAAACTTTATGGTGCAGTTCAAGATTTTGTCTTCAGTGTAACACTGACTGGAGCAAAGGTGACCACGGTGCCAGGTTTGAAAACCCCGTTCTCCACTTGGCCCCAAGGACAACAGTACCAATGTGTATCACCAGCCTGGAGAGTTCCAGAAAGGCTGACCCTAGAACATATCAGAGCCTCGGGGACTGCGGCTCCTCTGCCACCTTTACCGTGACTTCTTCCCTTGAACCAAGCCATGGTAGCCCCTGCTTCCTATGTTGTCACCTTTCCAACTGGATGCTCACACGAATGCTACACTGTTGGGTCATAGGGAATTTTCCTAATGTAGGCACTGCCTTCTATAAGAGTCCCTCCTGTCTCCTCTATAGGGTGGCTCAGCGGAAAAAACACAGCTAGCTGTTTCATACCTAATGCATGAGAGACCAACTTGAATTCCCACTACCTGCAGCAATAGCTTGAGATGTGCTTGCAATGGGGTTTTTAAATATATACGTATATTTAGGAGGAATGCTGGGATTGAACCCGGGGCCTCCTGAGTGCTAACCATAAGCTCTATCACTGAGCTACACCCAGTGTGCCACGCCCGCCCATGAAGTTTTTGATAAGTCTCTGTATCCTGAAGCTTCCATGATAGTCATGAAAAATTTGTTGGTCTCAAATTTTCACAGGGATATATCAATGATGACACTCGGCTCACATTCAGGTTTCAGTTTATCCAGGATCCAGGTACACTCGAAGGAGGCTTTTTCCATCTCACTCACCTCCTTCTCAAAGTTTTCCATGATTCTTTTTTTTTTTTTTTTAACTTTCTTAATTTTTTTTTTTTTGGACTTTTATTTTTTTTTTTTTATTGTTGGCTGTTCAAAACATTACATAGTTCTTGATATATAATATTTCACAATTTGATTCAAGTGGGTTATGAGCTCCCATTTTTACCCCATATACAGATTGCAGAATCACATCAGTTGCACATCCATTGATTTACATATTGCCATACTAGTGTCTGTTGTATTCTGCTGCCTTTCCTATCCTCTACTATCCCCCCTCCCCTCCCCTCCCCTCCCCTCTTCTCTCTCTGCCCCCTCTACTGACATTCGTTTGTCCCCCTTGTATTATTTTTCCCCTTCCCCTCACTTCCTCTTGTATGTACTTTTGTATAACTCTGAGGGTCTCCTTCCATTTCCATGCATTTTCCCTTCTCTCTCCCTTTCCCTCCCACCTCTCATCCCTGCTTAATGTTAATCTTCTTCTCATGCTCTTCGACCCTACTCTGTTCTTAGTTACTCTCCTTATATCAAAGAAGACATTTGGCATTTGTTTTTTAGGGATTGGCTAGCTTCACTTAGCATAATCTGCTCTAATGCCATCCATTTCCCTGTAAATTCTATGATTTTGTCATTTTTTAATGCAGAGTAATACTCCATTGTGTATAAATGCCACATTTTTTTTATCCATTCATCCATTGAAGGGCATCTAGGTTGGTTCCACAGTCTAGCTATTGTGAATTGTGCTGCTATGAACATCGATGTAGCAGTGTCCCTGTAGCATGCTCTTTCCATGATTCTTTATCCCCCAAATTTGTAGATGGGATTGCTGGTAGTGGTGGAACTGCCCAAATGTACACGTTCACTGAGGACAATTGTCTTTCCTCCTTTGATGTCTTGATGGCTTCCACCATACCTGTTTCTGGCTGCAAACCTGTAACAAAAACAAAAACAAAAATCCTTCCCTGCAGCCATTGCAGAAGATTCTCTTCTAACCCCCTTTCCCCCTTCTAGAGATGAGAAACTGGGTCTCAAGCAGTTAAAGGAAATTCAAACCATAAGAGTAGTGACTTAAGAGTAGAGTCCCTAAACAGCACCCTGCCTCTCTGGCATTGTTTTTGCTGCCCCCACACTTACAGGAAACATGCATCAGCCAGTCCTGCAGAGGGAGAGAGGAATTTGGCTGTCTGGCACATTCTGAACACAATGAAAATTGGGTGGATGAGCTGGGCGCAGCAGTGCTGTAGTCCCACCTCCTCTGAGGCTGAGGTGGGAGTTCAAGACCAGCTTGGGCAACAGAGAGAGATCCCCAGCTCAAAACATTAAAGTAAAATACAAATAGGCGCTGGGGTTGCGGCTCAGTGGTAGAGCGCTTGCCTAGCATGTGTGAGGCACTGGGTTTGATTCACAGCACCGCATATAAATAAATAAAAATAAAGGTCCATTGGCAACTAAAAACATTTTTAAAATTTTTTTTATATAAATACAAATAGCTGGGCGCGTTGGTGCACGCCTGTAATCCCAGCGGCTCAGGAGACTGAGGCAGGAGGATCGCGAGTTCAAAGTCAGCCTCAGCAATGATGAGACAGTAAGCAACTCAGTGAGGCCCTGTCCCTAAATAAAAATGCTAAATAGGGCTGAGGATGTGGCTCAGTGGTCGAGTGCCCCTGGAGTTCAATCCTCGGTACCTAATAAAAATAATAATAATAAATAAAAGTTGGGTGGCTGGATGAAAGAAGGGAACAGGGGAGACGTAGTTTGGAGGTCGGAAAGGTTTTCCGCCCCGATAGGATGCATTCAGTTCCCCGCAAAAATAAAACCAGCAGCTGGAACCTGCCCAACCAATCCTTTCTCTCAAAATTTACAACATTTGCGCTTCAACAACAACAGGGATCTTTTCAGACGCTCCCTTGGCCGCGTGCTACGTCCGAGAACAGCGTCGTCACTTGCGACCAGCTCCCTGGGCCGGAAGGAGCAGGGCGCAGGCCCGGGCTAGGCGGCAGAGCGCAAGGGGCGGGGGTGGCGTGGAGGGGGTGCCTGCCGGCGGTCAGCCCCGGTGTAGCCGGGTTGTCATGTCTCGCCAGACGAAGGATGACTTTCTACGGCATTATACGGTCTCCGACCCCAGGACCCATGCCAAGGGCTACACCGAGTACAAAGTAACCGCGCAGGTGAGGTGGGGCCCAGTGGGGAACCTTACCCTTTTAAGTAGCCAGGGGGTTGTGCTTTACCTTAAGGGAAGGCGCTGTAGGAAGCTCCTTTTTTAGACGACAGAAATGCGTTTCCCCTTTAAGGAAAGCCTGTGGTGGGCGCTGACGTTGACTTCTTTCACCATCGGGGGCGGGGCCGTGGAAGGGCGTGGTCCTCTTTAAAAGGGCGTGGACACAGTTCCCGGACTTGTGAGGTGCGTGTGCCCACGCCCGACGCTTGCTGTCTGGGCCTCAGTCTGTGAGATTCTCAGACGTGAAAACTCTGGCTTAACCCAAACGTTAGTTAGTTTCCCAATTTGGGGGTAAGTTTCATTTATTGGTTTGTTGGATACCTAAAAACCCTTTAAAGAGTTTATTTCTTAAAAAAATTAAT